GAATAATATAAGCACTAACATCAGGGGTACAGGTTATGAGCTCTCAAATCTGCAAGAAGAGGAACACGACAAGCATACAAAGCATTGAGTCGACCTTGAGGTTTCCTACTCAGTGCATCAGCTACCACATTTGCACGACCCGGATGATACTCAATAGTGCAGTCATAATCACTTAGTAACTCCATCCACCTTCATTGACGAAGATTAAGATCATGCTGAGTGAAAAAATATTGAAGACTCTTATGATCTGTGAAACAATGGAGATAATGCCTCCAAATTTTCAAAGCAAAAACAATGGTTGCCAACTCAAGATCGTGAGTAGGATAATTCCTTTCATGAATCTTCAACTGTCGAGAAGCATAGGCAATCACTCTATTATGCTGCATCAAAACACATCCCAAACCATTTAAATAAGCATCACTGTAAATCTTAAAGTTACCGTTATCATCAGGAAGTACCAATATCGGAGCATGAGTGAGGCAATATTTCAACTGCTGAAACTTTGCTCACAATTCTCGTCCCACTCAAACTTAACATCCTTTCTGGTTAACTTCATTAGTGGTAAGGCAATCATAGAAAAATCTTGAACAAACCATCGATAATAACCTGCTAGACCCAGAAAACTCTGTACCTCAGTGACGGTTCGTGGTTGTTCCCAATTCTCCACTGCTGCTATCTTTTGAGGATCTACTTGAATTCCTTGTGCCGATACTACTTGCCCCAAAAATGCCACTTCATTCAACCAAAACTTACATTTACTGAACTTGGCATACAACTGATGCTCCCTCAATTTCTTTAATATTAAATTAAGATGTCGAATATGATCTGCTTTTGACTTAGAGTATACCAGAATATCATCGATAAAGACAATGACAAACCTGTCAAGATATTGCTGGAATACCTCATTCATTAGCCTCATGAAAGCTACAGGTGCATTAGTCAATCCAAATGGCATCACCAAAAACTCATAATGCCCATAACGGGTCCTGAAAGCCGTCTTAGGTACATCATCATCTTTAATCTTCAACTGATAAGAGCCAGATCTCAAATCAATCTTAGAGAACACACACGTACCTTTGAGTTGATCAAACAAATCATCGATACGAGACAATGGATAACGGTTTTTAATCGTTACCTGATTCAATTGCCTGTAATCGATACATAATCTCAAAGTTCCATCTCACCCTATTTCTTTCACCCACGAAAGTAACCTCTGGTAATCTAGGACGATGAAAAGTAACTGACTTCCTGTAACAATCTATATGGGCATGATTACAATGCAACCAATCTGCCCCTAAAATCACATCAAAATCCACAATATCTAACGGGATAAGATTAGTTGGCATAACCACACCATCCACCATCAATGGACACCCAGGATAAACACTATCAACATAACATTTGTCACCTCTAGGCATAGCAAATTCTAAATCAAATCTTAGAGGTGTAGGGTGAGGTTGAGTCATTTGAGCAAACGTATGATAAATCACAGAATGTGTAGCACTACAATCAATCAAGACTCTTGCAAAATGACCAAGAATAATTAACGTACCCATAATTAAATCTGGATGGTTCTGAGCATCTTGCAGTGAGATGTGATTAACACGTCCCTGAGCTTGCTGTCGTCCACCACGACCTCTGTTGCCTTGGTTACCTCGCCCCTGAGAAGTACGTCTATGTCCTGGCTGATTAGACTGCCTAGATGGTCCTGCACCACTAGCAGTAACCTTTCCTTGTCGGGGCTGACCTCCCTGATGCCACTGAGATCCACTAGTTGGCATGGAAGAATAAGAAGTATAACCTCCAAGGTCTTGGGAATACCCAGTCTGAGAATATGGATCCTGGGAATACTGATACTGTCCGGAAGCATATGGAGCAGCATCACCCTGGTAATGGTAAGCACCACCACGACCCGTCTGACCATAATTGCCTGATCCAAAATTTTGCTGAATCGGCGCTGGAGGTGGCATAACAGACTGCTGAGACCTCTACTGACTCTGGGAACACTGAGCAGCCCTATGTCCCATCTGTCCACAAGTGTAACAAGCACCATCACTTCTCATACACTCTCCATGATGTCTGAAATTACAACGGCGGCACAACGGAGCACCAGAACCACCAGCACCACCAAAATCTCTCTGTCTCTGAAACCTAGGTCCACCAGCAAATCTTCCACCTCTCATCGGGCCTGTGACACTAAATCCTCCACTGGAAGAACTCGAGCGAGCTCCACTTTTCTTGAAATTCTGCGTCTTACGGGTTCCCTGAGTGGAGATACCTTTACCCCTATCCTCTTTCTTCTGATTATCATTCTTATCTTCATCATCCTCACTGTTACTAGGAAGGTTGTCAGAATCCTCCATCCTAACCAAAATCTCAGAAAACTCATGATAATTGGTGCAAGGAAGCGCACTAGCAAAAGTCCACCATTTCCTCTTAGTTCCCAGCTTAAAACGGCGAAGCATCTCTGCCTGATTACCAGCTGTATCAGGGTCATAACGAGACAAGTCTGTAAACTTCCTGTAATACTCATGTGCCGACATATTCTTTTGCTTCAATTGAGTGAACTCCTGCTTCTTACGATCAATGTACTCCAGAGAAACAAATCTTTTCATAAAATTCTCTTTGAATACTTCCCAGTCAGCTGCCATCTCAGGTGACATAAACTTAGTCTGATTTACCCACCAAGCTGCTGGCTCTCGCCCCAAAAACCAAGTAATGGTCTCAACCCATCTATTAGCAAGAAGATTCCCCTGACTCTGCATCACCTGAAAAGTCTTCTCAATATGGTCTAACCATTTTTCTGCTCCTTCATGACCTTCATTACCCATGAAACGGTCCAATTTCAGATTATACATAGTCTTCAGGGGTGTTCTCTGAGGAGGAGGAGGATGACGGATTGCATTTTGAAAGGCATGGGCCATCGCTTCCCCTAATTGAGTTATATCAGGAAAATTAGACTCAGTAGCACGGCGTGATTCCCTACGAGGCGGCATAGTTCTGACAGAAGACACCAAAAGATCATTAGAGCATTAACAATTTATACAGGACTGCAACCTAGGCTCTGATACCAAACTGACACATCCCGGGCCCATTCCACCACTGTAGCACAATATTGTTTGCTTTGGGCCCTGACTACGCCTTCACGGTTTTATTTCTGGGAACTCACACGAGAACTTCCCAGTGGGTCACCCATCATGGGATTGCTCTCGCGCGCTACTCGCTTAACTTCGGAGTTCCGATGGAACCCGAAGCCAGTGAGCTCCCAAAAGGCCTCGTGCTAGGTAGGGATGAGAATATACATTTAAGGATCACTCTCTTGGGTGATGTGGGATGTCACAACGGGGGCTACGACCCTTCGACTTACCAGTGAGTGGGCAATATTTTCTGTATTTACCTATATACTATTAATTTTTCCCAGAAATTGAATTTAAATGAAAGTGTGTTTTAAAATGCCATGCATGCATATTATGAAATATGTGAATTAGTATTTGATGCATATATATATGTGAATTGTGTCGGGGCCGCACATGTGAGTTTTATGTTAATCATTGTGATGTGAATTGTATTGAAAGCTCAAACATGCACCCCTGGTGTTAGTGCTTATATTATTCACCCCGCACCACACGCTCACCTTGGATCCAAGAAGGTGCATGTCGTACAGACCATTAGAGGGTTCCGACATGTCGTACATACCATGAGGTGGTTCCGACTTGTAGGTGATTTTAGATTATTATACAACTGTTGATGAGAGAAGCACTAAAGCGTATTCTTATACCTTTCTTATCGTACAGACTACTTCAAGTAGTTTCGATTTATGTGCAGAGTAGCGCCGTACAGGACCAATTGCAGAGTCTCCGGTTAATTCCTTATTTCACCTGTTATAATGTTGCATTCTTATTCTGTTGTTGACGTTATGGCATGGCATACTTTCTGGTTTTTGATAAAGATTTGTGAATTGAAATATTTGAAGAATTATATGCATATTATGTCATTTTCTGGGAATGTATACAGGTTTTACAGCGAGGGGTTAGAAATGTTATTAAATGAAATGTTTTCAAAAAACTTTGTTTTACTGACCCACTCAATCTTATTTTGCGCCCCTCCAGTTTCTAGTTAGCGGTGTGGTGGCTCACGAGGATTTCCACGGAGTTCTGACAGACTACATAAATGTAGGACTCACCTTCAGGTGTTGTAATTTAGTTATTCCTACTTGACTGCACCTAATATTTATGCTCTGAATATGTGTGTTTCACACTTAAACTCACTCTAGCATGTTAGTTGGATATTATTGTTAGTATTAGGTTTTTATTTCTTCATATTGCTCTTATCTATTGCTTCCGCGTCACACTTTTGGTTACGTCACGCCCACGTGACGGCCAGCACGCCTTGATTTTAGGATCGGGGTGTGTCATGGAGCCTTCAACTCCCAAGTTTAAATTCCATGTAAATAGATGTCATTTTCCAATTTCTATGATTGAGAGTTTAAAAATAAGAAATTTCGTATTCAATTCCATTGTTGTTTTAGGTTAACCAAACAAAAAAATTCACAATTTCTAGAAAATAAAATCCCGTCATTTTAAAATTTCTTAGTAATCTTAAACTTCTTTATCCAAACATAGTGTAAATGATGTGGTTCTTGATAATTGAATTATAATTTAAGTGTTGATTAACGTGCTTATTTTTTTTATTAGTGATACATTATTTGATTTGCAAACATGTTGTGCAAAAATCAAATCAACGTTAAAAGAAATTTAGTAAAAGTGGCGCTTTCTCAATGTTTCCTCTATTCAAAAGACAAGACGTGTTGCACATAAAATTTCTCTCTAATAAATTGGCCATAGAATTTCTCAACGCTTTTCGGTTTGACTCCCCTTCTCCAATGAATAAATCATTTTTCCTTGGAAAGCAATACTTGCATTAAGAATTTTACTTTAGATAATATTTTAAATCAATCACGCAGTTCATGTATTTTAATTTTCTCGCAAAACATTACGTTATTGCTATGAAATTACACCTCCTTCACAATCATAATATAATTGTCAACCATAACATATCATTCAAATCTCCTCCACAATCAAAAGCTGTCCTCACTAGTAAGATCTGCAGCACCTCCTCATGCATACATATATAATGGCACTTAACAAAACTACACCTCTTGCCATCTACTCCTGGAGTCCTCCTTTTACAAAACCAGTTTGGAACTTCACAGAGACACTAACCCTAGCTTAAGAGAGTTGTTAACGCCACCCCTTCTTAACTTTCCACCAACAATCCAGCTTCTTTTACAATCTCTGCACAAACGTTTTTCTTTACGTAGATTGGAATATTTGAACTGTTCAAATCTTGTGTTCAAGCTTTCGCAGCGAGGGCAGGGAAGTATCTTCTTGCGTGCCTCCGCTTTAGCTCGGGCTAATTCATCAGCACTAGGCTGCAATGCTGCACGCATTTACCAAACGTCAAAGCAAATGTTCATCCAGAAGAAGATTCAAATATCTCAAACGCGTGATGTGTCAAGTTAATTACCTGGTTTAGAGATGCATGCTTCCACTCTCATATCCTTCTTCTGAATTTCCGGCTTCTTCTCAGCAACCCTCCGCTGCATGTCCTGTCAATGAACAGATGTACAATTCTAATCATGCGTACAGAATTGGTTAATTCATGCCATTTAAACGTAGGAATTACACAGCGAAGGACTTCATCGGTTGAACTTACCCTGTCCCTAACAAGCACCTTGTTCCCCTCTTTGATTCTTTCCAACTCTACAAGGTTTCCCACACATTTACTTGCAAAGTGAATTAAGAAAAACCCCGAAAATGCCAATGTGATGGATGAACAAAAACATAAACGATCAAATATATCACAAAGGATACGTCCCGTCTTCCAAAAGTTTGAGCAGGTTCTTAGTATTCTGTGAACACATTCAGAACATATCAAGGTAAATTAGACGAAATGAATCATCAAAAATGAATTAGATTAGCCAATTCAGATCGATAAAGTTACAACCTTTACATCCTGACAACTTATGTATTCAGATCAATCAAGTCACACCAACTTGCTTATAGCAAATCAGAGATTAAATTACGAGGGCGGAGAAAAGAAGAAGTACCATTTCGGCAAAGGAATCAGTTTGGTCCCCAATCTCATGCCTCTTCTTGCCATCTGCTATCCACACCAAAAATCTCAGTCACTTATTGGCAAAGCATTATCTTGCAAAAAGCCCAAAATTTCTTAGGGCCCATTTGGGATTTGCTTCTGTTTAGACAACCAAAAGTGCTTCTAATTACCTTAATGCGTTTGGAACAAAAACATTATAGTTCTTATGGTTGTAGAGGTGCTTCCACTTGGAACTTTTTTTATAAAAATTTCTACTTGTTTATAATACTACAAGCGTTTCTAGCATAAGTGCTTCCTACAGAAGCAGTCCCAAACAAACCCTACGTCACTTTACCTCAAATTTCTACACAAAGAAAAAAAAGAAAAACGACAAAAGCATTTTCCAGCAGAAATTCGGAGAAAAAATTGCAAAGAAACCATGGTTGTAGCAATGTATGACTAACATATGTGAACCTTAAACACGCAACGAGAAAGAAATGCAGGCGAAAGAAAGAAATATCAAGGAAAGCAGAAATGGGAGAAACTGACCTCGAGCATTGTCATCTTCTACGTCCATTGCTTTAATTTCGTCGCCAATTTCTCCCAGAGGGCTTGTTTGCTCTCTCTTTGCACCTCCCCGCAGACGAACCATCTCTCTCTCTCTCTCTCTCTAGCTGGTTCTTACTTCTTACTGGTCTGAATTCAGAAATTACAAAACGACTGGAAAAGTTCTTGACTTGGAAGGAAATGGTGAGCTGCATAAATTTTTAGTTGAGACGGAAACACGGATGGTACATCACGTGTTTTTATGTAAATGGTGAAAAATTTTAATTTTTAAATTATTAACCTTTTAACACATATAACCTACCATTTATATAGGAACACGTAGTGTACCATCTCGTGTGACGGTCACATTGAAAAATCTCTCGGTGAGCTGGTCGTTGATTCTGAGAAATTTTTAATTGTGACGGGAACACAAGTGGTAGACCACGTGCTTTAATTGAAGTGGTGAGAAATTTTATTTTTTAAGTCATTAACATTTTAGCACACATTTCCAATCATTTGTATAATAACACGTGATATACTATCTCATGTATCAGTCATACTGAAAAATCACTCTCGTGGATTCTTTCGTGGAAGTGTTCCCTATTTGGGCCTTTTTGTTGTTTTTGTTTTTTTCCCAAACTTTGGGCTCTCTTTTGGTTCAATTCGGCTTCTTGCCGTGGGACTGTCGTGTTTATAAATGGAATTTAAAAGAAATAACAAACGGTGGAACCATCTGATAGATGGTGAACAATATCGAAAGTATTTTGTTAAAAAAAATTTTTTTTCTAATTCACTACGTCGAGTTTAAACTCTTCCCTTCATTTTAGTTAGTTTACAATAATAATGTCGCTTGCAGTTAAAACAAATTGATGATAATTGTGTATAAGTGAAGTTTTTTTATCAGAGCGAAAAAAGTGAAGCTTTTTCAACGCATTTGTTTCTCAAATATAATATTTCATCTTTTATTTCATGATGTTCCTTTATTTTCTTCTTTTGACGAGCTTAAGAATTATACTTTCATCTTCGTATCAAAATTGAAAGAAATTGAGTAACGCAAGATATCTTATGAAATGTCATCCACAATTGATTTGGCTTTTAGATGTGTATTTTGTTCTTAAAGTCTCTGACTCCGTCTCTACAAATGAAGCCTTTTTCCTTAGGAACTAATGATTTCCTTAAGAATTTTACTTTGATGTTAGGTTATGGATACCACTTTAGCAAGCCAAATTAACATACCCCGTATGCGTTTTAGTTTTTTCACGTAGCAATGCATGATTGCTCCAAACGTCGGAGGAATAAAGAATGTATTCTCTAAAACCAGGAGACTGCTGGTTACAATTGCTCCTAATGGTTCAAGTAGTTTTTCCTATACAACTATCATTGTAGTTTGTCTGCAACATAGCCTCTACATATTGTGCATCAAATGACCATGAAATTCTCAAATTACAAATCTTATACCTTGCCGCTCGACTCTTATTTTCGGCCACAAACTCGATCGCGGCAAATTGCCAAGATAGAACATACAAACTAGCTCCGAGCTTCAGCAAAGCTGGAGGCAAGCTAATTAAGACTTGCCCAGCAAGCTTCCTAACTAAAGCTATCGATTTGGTGACACTTATGATGTCGTCAACAATGTGATCAGCAATCCAGACAAATAAGGTATGTTAATGTGGGCTTCATCAATATGTAAACCTTTCAAAATTTTGATAACAAAAATGGAAAGTTTTACACTTACAATTCACGGTTTTCAGTCGGTTATGCAAATTCGTATATAAATCACCATTCAATTTTTTTTATTTTCACCATCGCCTCATTGTGAAGTTTTGAAAATTAAGATGAGACTTTCCGTTGAGATTCTTGAGTGTAGAACTCTATTTGACAATGAGATTATCAACATGCAGAATGAGGCGAACTTCCGGGGTGCTCAGATAGCATAGTTAATGAGATTATCAACAGCATCAAAAGCTCATACATTCATTCTGCTTGATCAAGTTAATACTCTTCATAATCATTGTACATATATATTTGCATTAATCCATGATTTCATTTCACCTAATGCATCTAGTTCCTACATTCCTACTCCGTCTAAACCCTAATATTAATAAACTTAAATGACTGATATAGAAACAAAAATCTCTTTTCCAATAGTTCGATACAGTACATTGTAAGCCTTAAAACCAATAGTTCCAACAGAATCCTAGCAACCAGTGCATCTTCCAAACTACGGTTTCGGGGTGTGGCGGTTGTTGGCGCCTGATCCCGGGTAGTCATTTAGCTCCACACCCATCCTTTCACTGATAGCTCTCTCATTATAGATCTTCTCTGTGGTTACCTGTTTTGAAAAATGAAAATTAAGTGATGGAAGGCTAGTAACTCAACACATCTTTTCCCGGAGCGCTTCTCGTGATACTTGTACTATGAATACATGTCTATTAAGATCCCTAGAGGATCCTCGCGAGTCGCGAAGAACTATAATATCGAAAATATGGAGTAATACCAGTTTGTTACTTCCTGCAATTTGATGAAGTTGAGGTCCAAGCTTTAGACTTCCAATTCCTGCATGTTGTAAAAAGCAAATGAGAACTAGATGGAGAAGAATAAGAGAAGCAGAAAGCTGTTACAGGTTTTACTTGTAGCTGGGATGGCATTCAAGAAGATAAGTTGAGAAAACCCTAGCAAGATCACAAGCACATGAAGGAGACTGCTTGCCATTTTCTCTATGAAGTTGGATGTTAATTGTCTTAAAGCTATCACTACTCAATTTATACAACTCAAAAAAGCTGCCTTTCTAGACCTTTGTTTGAGTTGTTGGGATTTGGAAAAAATCAAAAGGGTGAAAGAGAAGAGGAGTGTAAAACTGGTGGAAATTTACCCCAAAATGCAGTGAGGTGGTTTGGAAATTGTTAAGTGGGGCAGTTGATTTTTAAGTGAATGTGGTAGTGGAGGTGTCACAAAGGATGATGTCGTGGCAAAATTTGAGCTCAAGGGTCTCATGCACTAAATTGTAGGTTAAGGTTTAGTGGGAGTCATCATCATTGGACACAGCTGCACAAGGATATTCAATGAAATGGAAGAAGAAATCACTAAAAAAGCAAAGCAATATGGACTTAGATCTTTTGGGATTCATTTTAGTGGCATGTCAACTAAGGGGTAGGGAAAACAAACAAGAACCACCAAATGCGATAGCATGTAGTATTGCAGTACAAGTACGACTTGTTTGAAAAAGAAAAAAAAAGTTGAAGATGATGACATGTTTACTTGGAACATACTTGTATTCAAATTTTCGATTTTTGATTTTCTCTATGTTTGCTAACGCATGGATATTAAAGTTAGTATGATTCATGATTTCACATGGGTTTGCTCTTGATTGATGCTTTCACATGCATTTGCTAATACTGTGACACTAACGGACTAAAAAATTATGTGACTCATACATTACAATTTGTAACTCAAAATCTGAAAAACAAAAATTAAATTAATTAAGGAGTAGTTAATCTCATTTACATTTCTTATCTTCTTTATTTATGACTTTTTCAGTTCATGACCTCTTTGTTGAGAGTGAATTCCACATAAAGGAGAGAGACATTACATATGCTTATAATAGTTGGGTTACTTCGTATATTGTCAAATGATTTTATGGTGAAGGCTCAACCTTCTCTATGGTATCAGAGAGCAGGTTGTTTTGTGTGTCAAGCCTAACTGCCACCGTGCTCCACGCCACCCGATTTGTGTTATTCACGTGTTAGACTTTAAAATTCATCACACATGAGGGAGCACGTTGAGAGTGAATCCCACATCAGAAATAAGAGGGATGTTTTGTGTACTTATAATTATGTAGTTGGATTCATGTTATCAATTGGTTATACGGTGAAAGCTCAAAACTTTCTTTGCTCTTCTTATTATGATTTATTCTTCTTTCCAAGAATAAGACACACAATGATCTGGTTGGATGGTAAGTGCAGAACACAATTAGAGTTGGCAACACAATCAGTTTAACCATTCAACTTCGTTCCGACTTCAGTGGACATATTGGGATCAAGTTATCATGCTTTTAGTTTAAATTGTTTGACTTTATGAATCACCAATCAAACTTTACAATGTGTTTGGTGGTGGGTCACTGCCCTTACATGGTGGCATGGTTACAGATTTATTAGGTTGTAATTAAAGTAGTTATTGACAATGAAACAAACATGGCTCATGTATTAGCCAATTCCAAAAGGCAATTAACAAAATTAATTAACTAATTACAATGTAAAGCTAAAAGCCTAAAGATCCGAAATGGGGCTGAGAAAGTAGAAAAGATATATAAAGCAAGAAAGGCCTAAGGATCCATCCAGAATAATCACACCATGCTTTCTGCTGCTTTTGCATGCTTCAAAATTTATCATGCTACATTTTACTCAAACTTAGTCAATCCTTTCAGATGGGATGCTGTCCGTTGATGATGTTTGTTTGATCTCACCCAATTCAGTCAGTCCTTTCATGCCCATGGGAGCAATATGTCACACACTTCACATTGAGTTTATGTGCTTAACAACTTACATGGAGAGTTCACATAATCTTCTATTTTTATCATTAGGGTGGATCTTTCTTCTGGTTTAGTGTGTTACATGATGAAAGGGTTAATCTGATTTAATCATTGAGGTACAGGTTACACAAACTCATGATATCTAAGATTTCCTATAGATGATGATTGATGTCTAGCAAATAATCATTTTACATCGAGAGATCAAATGGGGTCGTGTTATACACGTCTTTTAAATGAAAAGTCATTTGTTAAATTGATAAGAATTTTCACATTTAGTTGTTAAATACCTCAATGACCTACTTTAAGATTTTTCAGGATCATATAAACTCATGATAGGTAAGTTTTTCTTCAGAAGATGAGCAATGATTGGCGAGATTTTTTCATTTTAATTTCGCGCCTTAAGTCAATATTTTTGCAATTGTATAATGATAATGATGTTTCGTTCCGTGTTTCAAGTACACTGAAAAATCTCTTCAAATAAAATAACAATCAACAAGCAAAAAGCTACATGTATCTGAAACATAAAAAAAAATTGAAAAGAAAGAAGGGGACTAAGAGATTGGAGAAATTTCTTCAAACCTTCCATCCTAATTTCATCTTAATCCTGTCCAAATCAAATGTGTGGTATGTGCCTCCTAATTGAAAAACATGTTAGCGGAAATCCAAACCGCCCACTGGGTAATCCGACATTAAACAAATCAACTTTAACTACCTAATTACACTTGTTTAATTCTGATTAAAAGAAAAAGTTGACTTGTTTAATCAATAGATGAAGCATGTGATTAAAGTAATCAAAACCATTTGACCTTTAACACCGAAAGACCAAACCTTAGAGCATTTTAAAGGATTTAACAAAAAATATTTCTTTGAAGGTGTCTTTGTTAACCCATTTGAATTGTGACTTGGCACATGTCCTCTTAACAAGATAAAACGTAAACAAAATGATAAAATAAAAAAAAAAAAACTAATGAAAATGGTTTGAAAACTTTGAGTTTTAATGATAATGACAAAATAAAAGGGAAATGAATAATACAAAGATTGATTTTTAGTGTAAAAATGTAAATTTTTATTAAAGTACCGAGAACTTTTCTTTAAAATTTTTAATAAAAAAATGGGCAGCCTTCGCATTCCTGGTCTGGTTGGGGGCCAGATGGCTATGTTTGGCCCCAGCTTGGTGAATCGTATCCATGCGCAAACCCATTGTGCGCCCTTTATCGTTCTCCCACTCTTTCAACCAACTTTTTAGATTTTATTTTAAAATATTAATATCTTAACTTTATTTATTTTATGAGATCCAATTTGTATTATCAAACACTTTATTAATAATATTTTAAATAAAATAGGTTGCGAGATCTAATTTGCTAACTTAAACAAAGTAACAACTGACCTTATAAGCATGTAAGATCAATTATTAATTCTTTAATTTGCTAACTAAGTTGTTATCTCCATTAAAAATTTATTTTTACTACACAACATAACAAAACTAACGTCGTCAAATGCTGCTTTATTTGGAGATACTCTTATCTTTTAACTTTTTATACCTAGGAGGATCATCGCCAAATCCTATTTATGAGGATCCTAGAGATCCTCCAATCACATATGTTCATCTTTCATCGTACGGTTAGAAATCATTGTAATTTTTTTAACTTAAAATTGAATATAAACAGTAATTGACAAAAACTGACCGCACGATGTATGATGAACGTATATAATTAGAGGATTCGGCAAGGATCATCTCTCCTTTATCCCGGAAAGAACTTTTCTCCATATCTCTTCCACCAGGTCACCAAATCAAATGATCCGGGCTTTGAATTTTCATCCAACGGCCCATATGTTTTGATCCCTTAAAAGCTATAATAATTTTTTACCGTTGAATGAAATTTCAAAAGCCCGAATCATTTGATCTAATGATCTTGGTAGGAGAGATCTGAAGATGATATCTTTCCCTTTATCCCTACATTAAGATTGTACTAAATCATATTTTTTTTTACTTTTATATTGCTTAATTTTTTGGAATATTAAAAAAATTAAAATGTCCACTAATTGGATTTGGTGTCATCCTTTGAGAGCTCTGCTTAGGTAAATTTTTAGTTGTGACGGAAATACGAATGGTACACGATGCGTTTTTATGTTAGTGGTGAAAATTTTTAATCTTTAAGTTATTAATCTTTTAATACACGTAACCACTCATTTATATAGGAACACGTGGAGTACCATATTATGTGATGATCATACTAAAAAAAATTTCCTCTGCTTACGTACAAGTTGGTCAATGGTATACGCGTGTCATGAGCTAGGATACGTGTTGGTCATCTACGGGAGATTGTGGAGAAATTCTGCAGGCTTTCAACTTTGAGCTTTTTGGGGTGGGACCCATTGAAAAGTTTCTGCAGCTGGTGTGGCGACAAACCTGGTTCTAATCTGAGATTAAATATTTAGTCAGCAAGATAAATGAAATAGAAAATATATTGAGTTGCCTTAGAGTCTTCATACACAAGTAATTAAAGAGATTAAATTACATTATCGCTTAGAGTATTCATATATTTAGTTTACTTTTCACACGTTTCTTATAATTTAGGTTATTTGATCTTCTTCAACTCGTTCAATCCGACGGTCAAAATTTAAGAAGGGAGGGTGGGATGTGTTATTCATACACCCCAAAAAATAATTGTACTAAGTATGTTTGCAATCCTGTGTTTTTTTTATGGAAAGGTACAATTTATTAAGATGCCAATAAAATACGTATAAGAGGATAAGACATAAAAAGTAAGCGAATCTCTGAAGAATAAAAAACTTTGTCGGGATTTTCAAACCGGAAACATAAAAAAAAGGCCATCATTATAGAATAAAAGAGAACATTGTAATCACTGAGTAAAACTATTTTGAATCAAGATGTTTGCTACATGTCCGGTGGTCCTTCAAATTAAGCCACCTCATGTTGCTCTCCAGTTCCTGCTCTTTCAAGCCTATGTGATGCCTGATTTGCTTCTCGTCTAACATGACTTAAGCTTGAATCGAGAGAAAGCTTGAAGAAATAAGCGACTGTCATTAAATATTAGGAAAACTAATGAAAATAGTTTGAAAACTTTGAGTTTTAACAATAAGGACAAAATAAAGAGTAAAATGAATAGTACTAGGATTGATTTTTTAGTGTAAAAATGTGGTTTTTCGTTAAAGTGAACAGTATCAGGAGCTTTTCGTTAAAGTTCTCTTAATTATTAATCCCATCCCAAATAGAGGTGTCATCACCTTGTTGGATAGCAGCTATTGCAAGGATATAATCTCCTTCAAATTCTACTTTAGTAACTCGCAACTCCTTTACAAATATGACAACCCTTCTAACAGCACTCAACT